TTAGAAATTAAAAAAAATAAAAGTCAGATGCTGTATTCGTGGATGGAAATCTAGACATGTCCAATGCAAAATAAACTAAGATCACAGAACCAATCTTAGCACTTGCAGCGTTCATGGACGCAACATTCAACATCTCAACTCAGTAGAGTTCACGAGATCCCATTTAACACCAAACGCAAACAACCAGACCACTTGTCTAGATGTATCTACCAAGACTCGGAGTTCAACTACCGGTGGACCCGAACCCTCCCTCCCGCCGGACGGTGGCGTCGAGGTCCTCCACTTCGGCGACCTCCGGTGTCGCAATTCGCAATCACCTGGATGGTCATCTGCACGACACCGTCTCCGGGCTTCAAGGCGAAGTCCGCCTCCTAGTGGTTGAAGAGCACGACACCCACCGGGCTGTGGTAGTCCGCGTCGATCACCCCTGCGCCCACGTCGGAGAAGTAAGAACTTATTAGTTCGCGTCCTCTTTCAAATCCAGTAGGGTATTTTCTTTCTTTTTAGCACATGCACATGAATCAATAGTGACAACCAGAGGCTGGACCATACTTGTTGCACGAGACATGAAGAAGGCCGGGTCCCCTTCTTGTTGAATCCAAGGAAGACACTCCCCCGAGACGTGAAGAAGGCCAGCTCCCCTCCTGCAAATAGCTCAGGTGCATGAAGTTGTAAGGAATCTGAATACAATGAACTCGTTGTAATGTATAATAACCAGAAAAAAAACCATGCATCCTAAAAAAAGATCGTTCTATGAGCTAGGTTGACAGTTTTGAGACACAGGAAAGGATAAAGTTGGTAAGAATCTTCATTAAGAAGAACAATGGGCCGAGATTTCTCAAATGACATTTCTTTCACCAACAATGATTGGTAGTAGCATCAACATATCCTCTGATCCTTGCATAATTTATATTAATCACGGAGAAAGCCTGCAAATTGAGCGACAAAATAATCTAGCCTTAGTACACTCATAAGAATGAAATTATATATGCAGGTTTTCCAGCATACCAGGTAAGGAATCAGTCATAACAGGAACCCAACACTTGACAGAAACAATTTCAGGTTTCATATATCAGTAATTATGCATAAGAGTTGCAAGCGAGGGGAAATTAGTCTACTTCTTTAACACTAAAATCAGCATCCTTATGTTGTATGCATAGCACAGTACTAATTTCCATGTGATGCATAGCATAGTACTAATGTTCAAACTAATAGCACAGTACTTGATAAATAGGATTCTTCCTTCAGTAATATCTAACGAATGGGTGTGACCTACCTTATATCATGGTAGTAACTAATGCATCACATGATAAGATAACAAAAACAGAAATGTTACATCCCAAAAGACTGGATGGTTATACCCCATCTCCATATCAGAAGAACAAGCATCATAGTGCTGATCAAGCTTGCTTATGGTACTGTGTGGATAAACATATATGTACCCATCCCTAAGTTTACAAAGAAGAGTATATCTGTAACCATATAGGAGTATAAAACTGCTATGGTACTACATACTGATGTATTGCACAATTAGACATATGCATTGGATATCTTACCTCAATCTACTCCGCATCCAAAATGTGATTAAACTGAACTCAAAATGGTTCCTCGTCGGTGCAATGGTCAATAAATAAGAAACATCAGAGTCGAGAATGGATGCTTACATGTTGAGACAGTGGCGTCCTTCTCTCTGATCTTCTGGAGGATGATATCACCAAGCGATCGTTTGGAGGAGGTTTCCTTGGACATGAATGCAGCGAGGGCCTTTTCATCCTCCTCGTCGATCTCCGTCTAACCAAAATCACCAATTTCGAGTCAGCAACAGCCAAAAAACGCAGTCCCATTTTACCGTGAAGACTGACGAAGCAAGGCAAGAGCACGCACCACGCTGGCATCATACTCGCTCAGTGCGTCGAAGCCGTTGAACTCGTCGACGTTCTCATCGTCATCCTCACCATCGACAGCAGGGACGGGGAAGGACAAAGACGACATGGTCGGGGCTACGGCGGCGGCGGCTGGTGTGGCAGTGGCGGCCTGAAACAGGGATATCAAAACTAAGGTGAAAAGAAAAACAAATGCACGCTCTCTAGAAAAATCTAAGCAGTTGTAAAAATTAAACTAATGTCAGAACAAGAATGCGTCCTTTTTCACTAAATACACTACAATTCCGGAAAAGAAAACTTTTCACCCTCTCTAGAAAAGCTAAGCAGTGAAGACTAGGGCTTGATACTTGGTTTTTTTATTCCACTTGACCAATATAATTTCACCAGTAACAAAACTGCATGGGAGACCAGAAGGAATTAAAACTTAAGCATCTCCAGAGTGTAAGCCCATTTCCTAGTGCACAAAACATCAAACAGATTGCAGGCGTTACTCTGAATCTCTTGTTCTAAACTGAACTGAACTGAACTCATGCCTCTCTATACATCCCACATTAATGCATAGTAATATACGGGCACAATCTGCAATTGCAGAGAGGAAAGAGGGAGCAGGGAGGGCCGGCCGAGATCCGGTCACCATACAACTGTTTATACAGTTCGCTAGCGTGCGTCAATCCACACTTTATCCAAAGAAAAAACAGCATCAGGTGTGATTCAAGGAACTCCAATCAATTATGTGCCCCAGTCTCATGGCACTATTTTTAAATAGATAGTATGAAATGCTCCCATGAAACGAGTATAAAGGGGGACAAAGCGTCGAGCACCTGGCGCGCGAGCTTCCGGTAGGCGCTCCCATGAGGCAGGTTCGTAGCTTGGAGTTGCTAAGGCAGGCATCCCTTCCCATCGGCCAGTTGCTAAGTCAACGCACTAGGTGTTCCATCCATCCACGGCAACTATTGTACGGCCCCAGCATCTCAGCTCCGACACCATCGATGCCGGCACGGTAAGACATCATACGGACGGACGCGTGAGGAGGAGGAGGATGCATCAGACTCACCGCGAGGGCCGGGGGCGGCGAGGGGGCGGAGGGGGAGCTGGCGCCGGCGCCGGAGTGGTTGGAGGCCGACATCCGGAGCGGGCGGAGGCGGGCGGTGGTGCGGGGCAGGGGCGGCGCGCGGCAGGCGAGGAGGCGGCCGACGTGGGGGAGGAGGAGGTGGTGGGCCCCGTGGGGGCGGAACGCTGTCGAGCCGCGGCAGGCGGGCGCCGGATTGGAGGGCGCGAGCACCATTAAGCAGAGCGCGCGAGCACAGAGGGGCATCGGCGGCGGGATGGGGAGGAGCGGTGACTTTGGAAAGACAAGGGAGTTTTGGGGGGTTTTGATTTTTAGCCACCACTTACTTTGCACTTTGATAATTTGCCACCCTTTACTTTGCACTTTGATTTTTTTTGCCATTTTTCACACAAAAACAATACTTGCAAATCATTGACATAATATATGCATAAAAATGTGGACCAAAATACCCTTGTGCTAGATCGACCAGTGCACCCGGCCGATTCAACGATTGAAATCAAATCAGGAGAGGATGAACCCATTCGTCGCCGCCGCCGCCCTCTTTGATGGCCGGCTGCTCTCCTCCAGGCCGTCGGCCGCGTCGCCGGAGTACCAGATGCTGGGTGGACGCACCACAGGGAGGGACCAGGGCGCCGCTCCAGGCCTCCGCTCGGTGGCTCGCCTGATGGTCGCTCCCGATGGGGTCGCCCCGCAGGGACGTGCTACCTCGCTCCGCCTCAAGTGCGTGGCTAACCACCACGCCATGTAGGTCTCGACGCAGGGATGGCCCTAGCCCTAGGTGTCGCTCCGGGCTTGTGCAGGGAGCACGGGATAGGAGGTCGGCGGCGCTGCCGGCGACGAGAAACTGGTGGCTGGGGCACGGGGGCAGGTGAGGGAGATGGGGAACGAGCTTCTCTCATGTGTCCTGTACCAGTCAATCGGGAGGCAGCAGGGGCGGGGCGAAATTTGAAGAGGATGGGTAGGAGGTCAGCCATGGAGCAACGTGCCGCCTGTGGAGAAGGAGCATAGCGCCCCGTGATGTAGTTGTCGCCGTCGTTTCTTATCCGTGACCCGTGAGTGGTCAATGGGGTGGGGGCTAAGGGCAATCTTGGGTTTGTCCGTGGGCAGGGGCAAAACTTCCAAGTCCCAAGTAAGGAATGGCAAAAAAGCAATTACGAGATAAGGAGTGGCAAATCGTCAAACTCTAAAGTAAATCGTGGCAAGAAATCAAATGCGCCGGAGTTTTTTGGGTGGTTTTTTATGGGAAAGACAAGGAAGTTGCAGTGCGCTGCGGTGTGGTAGCGCATGACGATTAGCTGTAGCGCGGGGTGTCATACCTATGCTACTATTATAAATTTAGTAGTAGCGCGGTTTTTGTACCCACACCACTACTATTGCATGCTCCGGTGGCACGGTCAGGATCACTTAGTAGTAGCGCGGGAAAGGTAAACCCACGCTACTACTATTCTTTAGTAGTAGCGCACTTTTTTTCCCGCACTACTACTACTTAGTAGTAGCGCGGGGCGTATAACCCACGCTACTAGTAAATGATTGTCTATAAGGGTTTTCCTAGTAGTGGGCTCATCTCGGATTCGCGGGCCGAAACAGGGCGGGCCCAACACGTCTTCTTCTTCTAGCGCCAGGGATCGGTTGAGGTGGTCGATCCGATAGCGGGTGTCATTTTCTCCGACTCCTTCTCGGCGGCCAAGGCGGTCGCTGAGTGTCAAGTGCGTGACAGGCGACGGAGTGGGATGTCTTGCTCCGCGAGGCGGAGGAGGCGGAGGATCGCCTCGGCGCTCCACCACTCGAGGGCGTCCGTCCTCGTCACGCTCGATGGAAAGGCGAGTCCGGCTTTGGCTAGCCGCCGGCTCGTTGCCTCATCTTCCGCGGGCGCCGCCAGTCGGCATCCGGGATGTCGCGCCGTGATCTTGGCGAAGGGGAGGCTCTTCATTATGCAGGGCGGGCTCTTCAGCGCGGTAGCCGGCTTCGTGCAATGCGGCGGCTGTGTCTAGGAGCTGCTGGACTCGCTCCGCCATGTGGCGACGCTCGTCGCCCTCGTACTTGTCCAGTTCGTCCGTCACCGCCTGGGCGGCCCGGATGTTCTCTGCAGGCGTGGCGTAGACGGGGCGTTCTTCCCCGAACATGCTGGCGGATAGGGCCAATGCGGCTAGGCCCCCCAGGAGCCGGTGTGCCACCGACGGCCTGGTCCATCTCGCGCTGATAGGCGTCCGAGAGGCGTCGCATGCTGGCCAGTCGGCCAGCGCTCTCAAGGAGCTAGACGCGGCGTGCCTCCAGCGTCTCAGCGTCTGCGTCTTCTGGGATGGGCGCCGTCAAGTCTCGCAGTGCCGCATCGAGTGGGTATCGAGCATCTCCATTCGAGCGCTCGCCACTGTTGATGACGAGCACCTCCGTGACGGTGCCCCCGCCGCTGTGCTCGCGAGGAGGCGGCTCGTCGTAGATCACCACGTTGGTGGGGAACGCGTCAAGCGACACCGTGTCAGAGTCGACGATCATCGGGTCGGTGGAGCCAACAGATTCTAGGTCCACAGCTGGCTCACTGATGACGTGAAGCTGGTCGAGGAGGCTGACGAGGCGGCTCTCGGGGCAGCCGGTGCCTACGTCGGAGGCCGACTCGTCAGAGAGGTGAACCTCGCCAACGAGGTCGGTGAGGCAGCTCGCCGCACAGGCGATCTCCGCGCCATGCAGGGCATCGAGGCTGACACCGTTGGGCATGCTGGGCTGGCTTCGCTCGCCAAGAAAGAACAGGGTTCCCGTCCAGAGCAGATCTCCGGGAGACGGTGCACAACCTCGCCAACGAGGTCGGCGAGGCAGCTCGCCGCGCAGGCGATCTCCGCGCCATGCAGGGTGTCGAGGCTGACGCCGTCGGGCGCGCTGTGCTGGCTTCGCTCGCCAAGAAAGAACAGGGTTCCCGTCCAGAGCAGATCTCCGGGAGACGGTGCACCTCGCCCCACGGTGGGTGCCAAATGTCGGGGGTTGGGTGCGACATATGCGAAAGGATGGCTCATCATGGTGGGAGCGAGTAGAACGTCCCCGGTGCCTGGAAGCGGGATGACGCGTAGACACGAACACCGGCGTACTTTACCCAGGTTCGGGGCTCTCCTAGGAGATAACACCCCTAGTCCTGCTCTACGGGGTCTCTGCATGATCACTAAAGGCACAAGTGATACAAAGTTGCTCCTTGAGATGTTTGCTAGAGGTAGGAGAAGGCAAGGCTAGCTCTCTCCTGCTCTAGGAATGTGGCTAGGTCTAATGGAGTGGGAACCCTTTGCATGGGCGCCCTGGAGGGTTTATATAGGCCTATCCTCCAGGGGTACAATGGTAATCTGGCCGGCTGCTGGGCCCGGCTATCAGCGTCTCCGGCCTCCGGCTTCTCCGTCGACTACTGGGGCCCCGCCAACTGGTCTGGTACGGAGCCGACAGGCCGCTCCCGCCGCTGGCGGGTCTGGTTGGTGGCTGCTCACTGTAGTCGTGCTGCTAATGACGTTGGCTTGGTTAGCTCAGTGTGGCTACAGTCCCGCCGCCTGGTGGGAGATCACTGTAGCCACACCTGGTCTCATCAGGTTAATGGTGTACGGGCCTCGAGGGAGGGGACGGCCGCCTGCTAGAGGCCGGCCCTCCCCTGGTCCGCCTGGTTCGGCGTGCGCCGTCTTCTGGGGTGTCACTGCCTGGTAGGGCCCACAGCCTGTGGGCCGTACCGACATGCCGTCGCGGTGAACAGGGCTCCGCCTGTCCAGAGTGACGTCAAGGGAAGGTGGCAATAGTGCCACATCATGCGAAGATCTCCGCCTGTACGGGACACTGTGGCCACGCTGACCCCAAGATTGGAGGGTGAGGGCTTCACTATAGCCATGCCCCATCTCGTCCTCTTGACGGGGGCACAAACTTGAAGGACGCGAGGTGGCCGCCTGCTCAATGCTGTCCTCCCTAGAGGCCGGCTGGTTGGAGCCGGCCGCTCGTGGGGCCGCCCTCTAGTGGTCGGCTTTTGAGCTAGCCAGCCGCCGGAGGGCGGAGCTTCAGCTTGGTGTGCAACAAAGCGAAGC